CAATTAAGTAGGTCGCGACATGAGGTTCGAATGGGTTTCGTGACTGTTCTATCGTCACGTGATCGTAACGCGACCTGAGTCGTGACTCGTTGACTGTTGATTCTGACTGGTCATTGACTTTTTGATCAAGTTTGACTTTTAGTTACACTTTGTGGAATGAGTTGTAGTATGAGGTATGACCTCTAATTGGCATTTTTGTGGTTTGTGAGACCGTTTCGTGCAAGTATGCGTGTAGATGTGATTCCTCAGTTTTTGGTTCAGGTGAGTTAGCTCATTATAGTGTGTGTTACGTTATATATCATTTGGGTGATAGGATGTAAATGGACTGTTGTTTATACAAGTAGGCTAGCATAGTCTATTGATGTTACGTCAATCTCTGAAGTCTCCAGACATAGTGAAATCCTTCAAGACATAGTGAAATCCTTCAAGACCTGCAGTCACACTAAACAATCAAATATGTCAGTCGCGTCCCAAGAGGAGATCCCGAGGAGGCGCTCCGACGATCAAGTCAGTGGTTGATGATTTTTTATATGATTCTATAATCCGAGAGAATATTGATTATGTCGTACTTGAGAGAGATCTCTTTTCCTTATATAGTTAGGCTTTTCTTATACCTGGCCATGGAAGGCGCGTGGATGCAGGACCACCTGAATATTCCCTTTAACGTCCCCTGCACTCCTATTGGTCCACGTGGTGCCTTAAAGATATTTCATGGCCCTTATTTGTAAGGACAAAATTTCTGTTAGTGGGACAGAACAGCTCCTTTTGTTGACGTCATTCCCGTACAAATCGAGTCATTCTTTCCACATGCTCCACTCACGTGCCAGTGGAGCGTAGGCATGTAAGAGTGTGTTGCCTTGATAATCAGCCAAATGGAAACGCGACGACGCTTGCGTGACAGAGCTTAGCCCGTGTTGTCTGTCTTGTCTCGTCACGATGAATCTGAGGGACGCGTCATTAATCCCCCTACTCTAGTAATCATGGCATTGATGTAGTCTAGCCATGATGTTTTAAACTTTAGTGGCATGTGTCCGCCTTGGGTTTAGTCGGGCAGTTATAACTTCTCTTCGGGGATCGTGGAAACTGTCACATTAGTTGTCCTATAAAATATAGTCTTCTTTTCCTGCTCATCTCCTTCCCTTATATATTGATGCTTGCTAGGTCATTTTCACCTCTTCCATTCGTTTCTTCCTTCTCGTCTTCTTGTTCCTTATTCACGACGACACTTCCAATCACACTGGTTTCATCTGACGGCGTCATTCCGACCCCAGGATAAGTCGATTCCCTGAGAGAGAGGTATGGATTCCAACTTGAAGATGGAGTTATCATTCCGATTGAAGGGGCGTTGTTCTCCGATCCTTCGTCGGGCAAGGTGGGTGTGTACGTCAAAACTTTCGACGACCAATTTCATGACTGAACTTCTTCAGAAGAATGGGATCAACTTCTATGAGTTGAACCCCAATGTTGTCCCCAAGGATGTTGTAATGCCCGTGTTTCCAGGATAGACATTAATGATGATGAAATAGTCTAGGTCAACCTTTGTATCTCATTTTGAAGAAATGAAGAAAAATTATGTGATTATTATGTGAATTATGTGTTTTATGCTTAATTATTAGGATTTAATTAATTAAGAATAAAAGTAAGCGTCGAAAATAAATATTAGATAAACCTAATATCTATGAAGGAAGTTGTAGTGGTCGTGACAAGGATTCCAGATATATAAAGAATACCGAAATCCGAGTTATAACGAAGAAGTTGTGACGTGTCGAAGTTCCGCAACAAAATCATCACGGTGCCGAATGACGTAAAAAATGAGTTTTTGATAAACTAATTTTTAGCCTTGGTGATCTAAATGAAAGTCGTAGTGTTCGTTAAACCGAGAGTATGTATAAAAAAAGAACGTCCAAATCTGACTTCGTATGAGGAAGTTATGATTTTTCTAAGTTTCAGCTTAGCAGTAGACAGCTAAAAACTCGAATTTTAGATCGAGTGATTTTTAGCCGACACAACCTAAATGAGAATCGAAGGTCTCGTCAATAGTAGTACAACGGTAAAAAGACAGACGAAAACGGACGTCGGATGAAGAAGTTATGAATTTTTAACGGATTTTCCTGTCCCGGTCTGTTAAAAATAATAATATTAAAATTAAAGTCAAAATTAGCCGACGGAGTCTAAACGAAAGTTGTATAGCATAATGTTACCTACGCGTGCATATAAAGAACGTCAAAAATGGAGCCCGTATGCGAAAGTTATGGATTTTAGAAGTTTGGAACACAAAAATCGAGAAAATTCTGAAATCCGAGAAATTTTGCATGGCTCAGGTTCCGCCACGTAGCACCTGCGCATGCGAGATGTGTGTCTGGTCCATGGCATGACCGAAGCGAGCCACGTCGCCCTTCCCTTGCGAGCCGCTCCGTGTCCGAACTAGGTGAGTCATCCGAAGGCGTGTCCCAATCCGAAGGCGACGCGTGTACAGCTTCCGAGACCGACGCCTGGCCCCTCGCATGTCCGACGCGTGCCCTCCCCCCTCGCATCTTCTGCCGCGTGTTCGATTCTCAGCCCTCAGATCCGAAGCTCGCACCCTATAAAAGGGAGGGCTACGAGACTTTCCGAGTAAGTTTGGGATTTTGGCACTTTTTCACCCTAAATCCATATTTTAGCTATTTCCACTTCCCCCGAAGCCCCAGTATTATTTTCAACACCCGAAACACGTCCCAAAGAGCCCGAGAAATTTATCTTTTCGGTTTTGAAGCTCAACCCTCGTAGAGCCCGGTTTTTCATTAAAGCTCCCGGTTTCATTGTAAACGATCATTTTAGGAATCGAAGTGCTGCCTGATTATCGTTAAATCAAGTGAGTGTATAGTCACTGTCATCTTACACATAGATATGAAGTATCTTATATAAAATACATGCTATGTGAATATAGATTGTTTATTTATTTGAGATGGATGATGAATGAATGATTTATACAGGTTTTTAAATAAATTAAACTGTATATGTATTTTTATCTAAAAATATGTTGGGTAAAACATGGGTAGATGAATTAGATGATGTGTGATGAAATAAAAATTTATGAGAGGTATCGATGTTTAAGATGATCTAGTCATCTAGCAGAGTATAGACAACGACCACAGACTATTCTAGATAGTCCAGTGGAACGTTAGCAGACTCGTAACCTGTAGGTATATTTGAACTAAGTGTTCATTATATGTTTTTGAACTATGTGTTCATCCGATAAGTATCATGTACAAAGTTCTTCTTTTTGACACTATTGTGTGTCGGGGTACGGGAGCGTACGGGAGTACTTTACTAGTATTTTCCCTATACTTTTTATTTTGAAGAGGTTTGGAGTCTTCGTTTCTTTTATGAAGTGATCATCGAGCTTCATGTGTCAGCGTTTCCTTTCACGAAGTAATTGAGGGAAATTCGTAAACTGCCTAATGAAGTGTGTCGGTAATACAGCACTACTAGGTATGTCTGGGGCTATGATGCTGGATAGGGTAAGTCTGGGGTAAAATACCTCATGATATTTAGATCACTGCTAGGCAAAGTTCGATGCTGGATAGGGTGAGTCTGGGGGTAAAATACCTCACGATATTCAGATCAATGCTAGGCAAAGTTCGACGCTGGATAGGGTGAGTCTGGGGGTAAAATACCTCACGATATTCGGACCACGGCTAGGCATTGTTATCTACATAACTACCCCTGACTTAATTGTCTTGTGGTTCTTTCTTTTACGAACGAAGGTTCGTGGTGAAACTTATTCCATTCCCCTCATTTGATGTCTTTATCGATCCTCGTTGGCTGCTAGGGAATTTCCGAAGCAACTTCGTCATTTTGTTGTTCATATCGATCCTTTAGGCTAGATCTTGTAAGATCATTGTATAAGATCAATACGTGGGGATCGATGTTCGTTAATGCTTGTTGTATAAACCCTGGCGACGATGTGACTTCGTGCCTATTCCTTAGGAGGAATCCTTAGGAATGAGTGATAGATGATTCTTAGGGTAACTCCTTAAGAAATAAAGAAGATAATGGGGTTGGGTAATTGGGTTGATTGTTTGATGTTTAAACATAATAAATTTATTTATTGTGGGTTGAAAACCCTATATGCTCACCAGGCTCCCAAGCCTGACCCACTCAAGCTTATTTGTATCACAAGTATCGATACGAAGTTGCTTTACACTGAGAGATTAAAAAGAGAAGTAGATCACTAGTGTAAATGAATGTAAGTTTTGTTTATGCTTATGTTTTTGTATTGACAATGACATCCCAATGGTTTAAATGAATAAAATACATTTCTTCGGAAATGATTTGATAACATATTTATCATGTTTTTCTGGGAACAAATTCCGCAACACTTTTAATCAAATGATTACTCTGATCTATTTTAAAAAACATAAACGAAATCGGTCTTTTTTAGCCGTGAAATTGGGGATGTCACAGATGTGGCCTTTGAGATGCATTGTTGATCTCAAGGGTTGGAACCATATTTCTGGGTTTTCAAGAACCACTTTCATTTTTTGGCCACCAACAAAAAAGTATGCCTTTTACTCCTGTAAGAACAGTCATGTTCTTGTTTCAGAGGGGAGAGCCAGCCCTAAGAACTGGCAAAATCATTGGTTTTGGGTTGATGGATCTCGTGTTATAGGGCCTAACTTTCGTACATAATCCACCTCCAAAGCTGCTCCCAAGTTATCACCTCGTAATCAAGAAGTTGTTTGTCTACTCAACCACTTACAGGTTGTTCCTGAGGATTTCCCTGAAGTTATCTTAACCGGAGCAGGAATGATCACCGAGTGGGGTCGTCGGGGAAAGATGTATGAGCTCTATGTTGTCAACGATGGTTATTTTTCCTTTCTTTTTGAGTAGTTTATGTTATTTGCTTTGTTATTTCATCCTTCTCCCCCCACCCACTTTTTTTTTACATAAATACAACGACTGTAGAGGGGTCGAAACCCTTATTGTTTTTTGTTGAATTCACAAGGGTTAGGCATGTTATGAGCTTTGTGGAAGTTCTTGGAAAGAATTTTGAAGGAGATATTCAGTTTAGGGAGGTTGATCTGGTTGAGTCTCTTCCGTTGCCAAGCTGCTGCTTGCCTAGGGTTATCTCTACTGCGAGGCTACCAGGCCATGTTGTGAATCCTCTCAGTGATCCCTGTGACATCGTTTTTAATGCTCCCGTAACTAGCTTGTGTAAACATGAAAAGTCAAATGATTTTGAGTCCATGGAAGATAGAAAAGAATGGATTATATCTGGGATTGGGGACTGCTTGGTTTGAAGAAAAGCTATGTTCGATTCTTCCAACTTCATTGGGGGTGGTGTTGGATTACCTATTTTTGGCAGTGTAAAGAAGAGAAAAGTTGCTACAAATCTCCTTGCCGATCTTCGTGTTTCTGGGGGAAAATTGATCATAACCTCTGATGATGTCATTTAACAGTCTGAGGCGACTATTAAGACAAACAATCGTTCTGTTGTTGGTGGTACTTACAATTCTGTCCATGCTTTCGAGGTGTCTGAGCCAAACCCTAAGTGGGTTGACCTTTGTCCTGCATCACCGAACTTCCAAGGTGGTGCTCATGTTCTCCATGAGGGTAACATTCATCCTGATCTGCTTGTTCGAAGGTGTATCACCTCAAATTCAGAAGGTCAAGAAAGGAAAGGAAAAACCCTAAGTCAATGAGTCAACTCGTCGAGTCCAAGGAAGAACTCGACGAGTCGGAGCGAGTTCCGTGTCGCGGATTAAGTGGCCGACTCGACGAGTCGGGGGACTGACTCGGCGAGTCTGGTCTGGGTTGGGAAACCCTAATTTCGGGACTTGGTGCCCTATTTAAGCATCATATTCTCATTCCCTCAGCCTCATCTTCAGCCCCCAGACCCCAAACCCTCACCCACGAAACCCTAGTGCATCTTGTGAGTGTTTGAGCCACCTTGGTGTGATTTGTGTGCTCTTGAAGAGGAAGAGGAAGAAGAAGGAAGTTGGAGGTTCAAGAAGGAGGAAGTAGATCCAGAAGATACACTCCATTTGCTGCATTTGTTGGTAATCAAGTCTTCATCTTGGCTTTTGGTTTATTAGATCTCCTTATAGTCCCTTTTTGGAAGGTTTTTGGTCCAAGAATGGTTGTCTTTGGGTTTTGGACGTCCCCCAAGCATGATCCTTTCAGATCTAGAAGTAATTGGAGTGGTTAAGGCATAAAGGTGCAAGCTTTATGCGCTTAGGAAGTCCCATGCAAGCTTAAAGAGATTATTATGGCCTTTTGGAGCCCTAAAGGCCATGCAAGGAAGTAAATCCCAGGACTTTATGTGGTTATTGGATGTCTAGAGTCTAGATATTGTTTTCCCTGCCTTGGTTCGGTGTGATAAAGGTTTTGGACCATGAAGTTATGTCTTAATGAGTTAGGGTTTTGTCTAAACCTATTATGAAGGATTTGGGATGGGTAAAGCTGGAAAATTTACCCTTAATAAGTCATTTCTAGAGTGTTTATGAAGTTTGGAGTTCAAATCTGAAGTATAGGGGCTTAATCCTTTAAGATTGTCCAACAGACCGAGGAACTCGGCGAGTCCAGGGAGGGACTCGACGAGTTTCAGTGAGTTGTCCCGTTTTCCGGTTACGGGTGAACTCAGCGAGTCAGGGGGGATGACTCAGCGAGTTGACTCGTATTGTCACGAGTCTGGTTAGCCAGGGAACTCGGCGAGTCAGGGGCTGACTCGACGAGTTGGTTCGCGATTGCAGGATTCTGAGCTTTTGGACTCGGCGAGTCGGCGAGTCAAGTTAACTTGGAAGTGTTGACTTTGACCATGGATCGTTGACTTTGACCAAAGTTGACTTAGTTTGACTTCTAGAGGGCATTTTGGGACTAAGTGTTATGTTGGTATTGGTAGCTCGGGGAGCTAGGGGAGCAGCGGTTTGGGGAATTGTTGGATATCAGCCAGAGGTTTCAGCCGGTCTTCAGTTATGCAAGATGAGTCTCCTCATTACGTGCATGGGTCTACGGCCACAATGCCAGCCGATTATGTTTATGTTTATGTATAGTAGGTAGACCCGGGGGTTAGTCCTAGGCACTTATTGTGATATGTTTTAGATTTAGATCCGTTCCCGGGGTTAGCCCGATGCAGTTTAAATGTTCCAGATTTTGGTCTGATGTCGGGTGGTACCCGAGGCAGTAGTGTATGTGTAGTTATACTTGTTGTCTTTGTGATACTTGTATGTGTCTGGTAGGGAGGTGAGTTCGAGCGAAGTCTCGTATCTCATCACTAGCCGAGTATGGACGCGGTTCTGTATCTCATTAGTAGCAGAGCAGGGGCGAGGCCCGAGTTAGGAGGGAGGTGAGTGTGGGCGGGGGCCCGTATCTCTCTATCAGCAAGAGTGTGGACGGGGTTCCATGACTCATCAGTAGCAGGACAGGGGCGGGGCCCAAGATAGGCGAGGCCTTAGATCAGATGTATAGTAGAGTCTGTTTAGCTTATTTGTGTTAAGTTATATATATGCCTAGCGGGCGGGGCCCAGAGATAGGCGGGGCCTAAGAGAACAGATCTGTATACCGAGCGGGGCGGGGGGGGGGGGGGGGGGGGGGGGGGGGGCTCGATGCCAGGCTGGGCCTGATGCCGGACGGGGCCCGATGTCGGAGTTAGTCCGATGCCGGGCAAGTCCCGATGCAGCGGGCGGGGGCCCAGTATGTTGTTATATCTGTGGAGTGTGGTAGATTGGGGAACTCACTAAGCTTCGTGCTTACAGTTTTTAGTTTTGGTTTCAGGTACTTCCGGTAGCGGAGGGAGGAGCTCGGGGTGATCGCATGACACACACCGTAGTTTGATTAGCCTGGGATGTTTTACTCTGACAAAAAGAATATGTTTTGAGATTATACTCTGATTGATATAACAGTTTTTTGTGTTTATGAATGAAATGGTGGATAATTATGGCTTTCACTAATGATTTAAAAATGAAATTTTCGGACCGTATTTTTGGGACGTTTCAGTAGGTGGAATCTTGCTGCCACCTCCCGCATTTCTATACGGGAAAAATCTTTGGAGTTTTCCCGTCATGATTTTTCTAACGGAACTGTCACTGAGATGGAGTCTTTCTCAGATGAACAGACGGTAGGATACCTTCAATACGCATGTGTCTAGGCTGCCTATTTCTTTTCTACAGGGGAAAGGCGAGTTCGTCAGTTAAAGGGTATTAATGTTGATTTGAGCACCATGGAAAAGGATTTGCGCTTTCAGCTTGCCTCTCTAGAGAAAAGTGAAACTATTTGTCATCAATAGTTGGGATTAGTTGCATCTGAGAAAGTACTGGCGGGGGAGCGTGTGACGGATCTGGAATGGAAGATTGATGAATTGTCCCAAAATAATGAATCCTTGATTTGTGTTGAGAGTCTAGAGAGATTTGGTTGATAAGGAGAAATTGGTTGTTGAGTTAAAAGGAGTTAATGCTCGACTGGAGGAAGATCTTGGTTGGTTGCTGAAGGAAGGTGTTGTTAGGGTGGTGGATAAGGTTATTGAGCTTCCGGAATTTCTCCATGGGAGAAGGTGGATAAAAAACAACTGCTGGTGTGAGGGTGAATATTCAAGTCGTGAAGGGATTAGGAAGGAAATTGTTGTTGGGACTTTCAACATTGGAGCTGCCAGTTCTACCTCTAGCCACAGCAGGGGAGTCACGGAGGATATTGATGCCTTAATTTCTCGTGACTATGATACCTTGCTAAACTTGGGTGAGTTGGATGTGGAGGGTTTAAGGAAGCTTTGTGTTTGTGAAGCTAGTGATGAGTTGGGCTCCGGTGGTACAGCTAAAATTGTTGGTTTGGATGGTGATGAAAGTAAGGGTAAGGGTGTTCTTGATTTGATTTTGTGGTTTCATCTGTGCTTCCCCTTTCGTATGTTTCTGTTCTTAACCTTTAATGTTTAACGCTATTTGAACCACCTTGCAACTTATTTGTTGCGAACGTCTCCACTTGTATATTTGCATGATTGTTTGACATTGGAATGGATTTACATGCCTAGTAATTTCCCCGCTATCAGATGAGAAGCCATACTTCGCTTCCCAAGTCGAGTTATGGTTAATGATCCCATCATCATGGCGTGTTGAAATGAGAAGTATGATAGATTGGTAAAGGTTTCAATCCTTTAAACCATTTTGTGGCATGGCTAGTGAGCCTACTACCAAGACAAATTGGTTTGAGAAGCCTAATGGGTTGGTAAAGGTTGCAATCCTTTTATCAACTTCATGGAATGACTAATGAGCTTGCCACCAAGACAAATTGGGATGAGAATCCTGATAGTTTGGTAAAGGTTGCAATCCTTTTAAACACTTCATGGTATGGCTAATGAGCCTCCTTCCAATACAAATTGGTCGGAGAAGCCTGATAGGTTAGTAAAGGTTGCAATCCTTTTAACCACTTCATGGCATGGCTAACGAACCTGCTGCAAACACAAATTGGGCCGAGAAGCCTGATAAGTTGGTAAAGGTTGCAATCCTTTTAACCACTTCATGTTATGGCTAATAATTTTGGTGCCAAGACAAATTGGGATGAGAAGCATGATAGGTTGGTAAAGGTTGCAATCCTTTTAACCACTTCATGGCATGGCTAATGAGCCTGCTGCCAAGACAAAGTGGGTTGAGAAGCCTGATAGGTTGGTAAAGTTTGCAATCCTTTTAACCCCTTCATCGCATGGCTAATGAGCCTACTGCGAAGACAAATTGGGGTGAGAAGCCTAACAGGTTGGTAAAGGTTTCAATCCTTTTAACCATGGGAACAAACATTATGTGAAAGATATTCATTTATACTTCTTAAAGAAAATAAGGTGCTAATTGGGTGATCAATCCAATTAGCTAATTGTTTTTTACAAGGGTAAATGCAAGGTTCACTATAGAAATGCTAAAATGTGGTGTTTCTCACTTCTTTAATGCTTTTCCTGATGGCTACACTTACATGCTTTTCTATTTCAAAAGTAATACTTCCTCATGTACTGTGTATTCCTAGTACATGGAATCTTTGTTCCTTCGAGTGTCTCTAGCTTGTAGCTTCCATTATGGTGTGCCTCGACAATTTTATATCGACCTTCCTATGTGTGTCCCAACTTTCCCCATGGTTCGGTGTGGCTAAAATCATTGGCACGTAACACAAGGTCACCAACCTTCATTGCTTACCCCCTAACACGCTTGTTGTAATAACTTTCAGTATGCGCTTTCTATGCTCTTTGACGAAGATTTGTTGCTTCTCGTTTATCCTCTAGCATATCGAGGTTCTGGTGCAGATCATTGTCTGTTTCTTCTCAAATGAAATTTGTAACTCGCACAGATCCTAGTAGCAACTCTATGGAACTACCTATGTTCCGTACGTGAAGCTAAATGGTGTGACCTTGGTGTTGCTACGAGGATATGTTTTATATGACCACATCACGCTAGGTAGCTTGTCGATCCAGATTCCTTTTGCTTTGTCCAGGCGTTTCTTTATACCATTCACCATTGTTCTATTTGACACCTCCGTTTGGCCACACTAGTAATTGAACACATCAATTTCTTCTGGGATATGCCTTATGACAATGATGCTAAAATTAAATCACCGAGGGTCACATTGATATCATTTTTCCTATTAAGCTAAAAGGAACAAATAAACTTTGACTACATAGTTTTTTTTTACTTTTCACATCATGCATAGACTTACTAGTTATAACCAGCAGTTAGGGACACCGTTGGAGTAGGACTAATACACAACCAACTTGTATGCAAATAACTAAATGTCTCTCCAATTTAAGAATAAAAAATATTATCATCTCAGAATTACTTATGACAGTATCCATGAAGTAATCTCTATGAGTACGGGTTCTCCATTAATTAAATCTCTGTAGATTTTACATTCCAAGAATGTGTCTTGTCAATCTATAGTCTTTCATTTTAGAAACACCTTCCGAGTCAAGGTGAAACAACCTTGCATAGTCAGAATATTATTTAAAATATTAAGTATGTCTCATTCATACAAGATTAGGAATTGGCATGTGGGTGTGCCATGGAAGTAAAGCGTTGTTAGATGTGCCTGTCTTGACACCAACCCTTAAAAGGATTTTTTGTGAATTTTAATCCATTGTCACTAATTAACACCCTTGGTATCCCAAATCATGTAATTATATTCTTCCACATGAACTTGATCATTGTACGCCCTGTGATTGCTGCTACTGGCTCTGCTTCTATCCATTTGGTGAAATAATCGACCGCAACAACAAGGAATTTTACCTGCCCAGGGGCCTCTGAGAAGGGACCCACAATGTCAATTCCCCACTAGTGGAAAGGCCAAGGGCTGGTGATGTTAGTCTGTTCACTAGATGACATCTTTTTGTACTGGCGAAAAGCTTTGGCATTCCACATATTTCCTTATGATTGCTTCTGCTTTGGACTACATGCTTGGCCAGTAGAGTCCCATTCGCAGGACTCTACCTGTCAGCACACTTGCTTCATCGTGTGCTCCTGTCTCACCAGCATGCATTTGCTAAAGCACATCTTCTCCCTTATTGTCCTTAATATATTTCAGCCATGGGGTCACGTATCCCTTCTTGTATAGGTTATCGTTGCTAATCATGAAGCGTGGGGCCTTTATATTTATCTTCCTTGCTTTTTCAACACCATCTGGCAAAGTTCCTAATGTTATGTAATCGTACAAGGGAGTCATACAAGTAGTTTCTTCCAGTACTATTGTGTTGATTGGCTCCTCATCTATCATTCTGTTGTATAATACTTCTACTAGCACCCTTTTTGATAAATGGTTGAAAGTTGTTATTGCTAGCTTGCTTAACACATTAACCCTTTTCATTTTGCTTCGCTTTATCTGTTCGATCGTGAACATCTTAAAAGACGACGCTATCTTGTTTATTGTATTTACATATTTCACCATTCTCGTGTCCCTTGTGGCATACATCCCATTAATTTGATTTGTAACAAGCAATACGTCATTTAGGACTTTCAACCACTTGACTGTCAACTGTAGTCTGGCCAATAACGCGTCATATTCAACTTCATTATTGGACGTTTCAAAATCAAATCGTAACGTGTAAGTTACCTCATCTCCGTCGGGATTAGGGATGATAAGTTCGACTCGTGACCCCTCCTTGCCCGCTGTACCATCTGTGTATAAGGTCGACACACGACGTTTCTATATGGTCGAATCGTATGTGGTCTTTTCTTTTCTATTTATGACTGTTATACTCATCATATGTTATTTATGCCAAGCAATCTGCCAAATATTGACCTTTGATGCTTGTTCTTGGGTGGTATTCTATGTTGTGATCTCCCAATTCAATGGCCATTTTTCTAGTCTACCTGACTTCTCGAGTTTTAACAAAACTTGCTTAAGTGGCTGTGTTGTTAACTTATCGACACTGTGGTCTTGGAACTATTTCCTTATCTCCTTGTTGCATATACCAATGCTAATACAATATTTTCTACTATGGGATAATTCAGTTTTGCGCTTTGCAGTGCTCTACTGATAAAGTATATTGGCAATTGCCTTTCCCATCTTTCGACTGTCAAGACCACCAATATGGTGTCATTGGTGGAAGACAAGTAAATCGACATCATTTCTCATGGGATGGGGCTGGCCAAAGTTGTTAATATTTGAAGAGCCTGTTTTAAATCCTGTAATGATTGCTCTGCTTGGGGTGTCTAGTGGAAATTGAATTTATCTACACAACCCTTCATCGTTGTAATAACGGTAGAGCTTTTTCTGCTGACCTTGCTATGAATCGGCCCAAGGCAGTGATCTTTCCATTCAGTGCTTGCATGTCCTTTAAGTTCCTTGGTTCTGCTTTGTACAACAAGCTCTACTTTCTCTAGGCATGGCTGTATCCCCTCATTTGTAACATAGTATCCCATAAATTTTCCCTCATGTATGTTGAACATACACTTCACTTGGTTGAGATTCTTATGGACTTTCTCTAGTGTTTGTAACATTTCCTCAATATCTCTAAGAAGTTCTGCTTCCCCGGGCTTTTAATTACCATATAATCCATGTACACCTCTATGTTTCTACCGATCTGGTCCTTGAAGAACTTGTCGATCAGTCATTTATACGTCGCTCCAGCATTCTTCAAACCAAAAGGCATCTTTTGTAGCAGAAGGTTCCATGGTCCTTGTAGAATGCTGTTTTTTCTTCCACCTCTTTCTTCATTAGTATCTTGTCATAACCCGTGTATGCATCAAGGAAACATTTCCATTCGAATCCTTACAGTGACTCGACCTTTTGGTCTATCTCTAGGAGTGGGTAAGAATCCTTTGGACAGGCTTTGATAAGGTCTGACTAATCTATGCACATCCTCCAGCTCCCATCGCTCATTTTCAACATGATTGGATTTGCAATCCATGTCGAGAAGATAGCCCATTGACTCCACAAGTTTCACAACTTTAGTGTTAATTTCCTTATTTCTATCCCAGCCAGCCCTCTCATTTTTTGTTTTATGTTACGGCTACCTGGACTTATATTTAAGTTATGCTCGATGACATCTCGACTGACACCCACCATGTCCGTTGGCTTCCATGCGAAGACGTGTGGATACTTTTTGGAGCAATTCCACCAATTTCCTCCTTGTTGGATCAAGGATTTATGTTCCTATTGCACCTTCTGCTCAGGATAGCTTGGGTTGATAACCTCTTTCTCTTCTTGTTGCTCCTCTCATGGCTATTATTCGCCCTTGTGATGTCTACCATTCCTATGATCTGGTAGCATTTGTGTTGCAACTGCATTTCGACTATGGCTACTATAGGGCCGTCGACTGTTTGAAATTTTATGAATCCATGGATCATAGATGGCATAGCTCCAAATTTAAGTAAATCGGCTTGCAATGATAATATTATGCTATGTTGGGTGACATACCACAACAAATTCTATTAACACTATTTTTTGTCGCCTTTCGTCATGA